CTACATACGTAATTACGTGTTAAAAACATATTTTTTTCAATTTATAAAAAGAAAGCTTTATCACAAAGTAGATACTATGGGTCAAACGCTTATATACTCTCAGAAATAGAATTATATGAGATGTTCGAATGTTCTTCTGGTAAAATTTAACATTACGTCATCTGCATTGTACTTGAAGCCGGAAAGTAAGAAAGCGCGGTTTTGTATAATTCAACAAACGGCTTCGAGTTTCGCTAAAAAAACTAATACATTACGAGATATAACACCACATTCCTAAAGCATGTAATGTTCTTTGTGCCTATTTACAAAATGCGTATAAAACTTTAATACATTCTTCATTTTTATTTATGACAACAAGTTGCTGTAAATGGTAATGAAAACATTGCTGCATTGCCGAATAAGAAGCAATCGATATTTAAGTTGTTCTACATACACGTAATGTGATCATATAAAAACACTTTATTGTTCAAAAATTCCAATAAACTTAACTAAAAATAGTATACAGTGACAAGCTTATCGTAATAAAGGGATTCCTCCTTTGAAAAACTTAGATGATAGTAGGTTCCTAGATTGGCTTAAGATTGCAAATCTGTAGTTTTTATTTTTTATTATTTCTTTTTTTATAGAACCGCAATAAGGAAACCCTGTATCGCGGGTGCCATGGACACACACATAGACAACCACAAATTACACCCAACCTCGCGAGAAAAATAAATGTAGGCCATACAAATATTTCTCCCGGTCCGGGAATAGAACCCGGGACCTCCGCGTTGCAGTCCAGCATGCCATTTAGCCATTGAGGTAGTTGTGTTTGCATCTCTGTGTTTGTTCGATCTTTATAGTAATGATAGTAACAGAAATACATAAATGCTACATAGTCAATAATATCACACATAAATTTCTTACATGGTATGTATATAGATAAGTAAATAATGTATAATAGACGATGCTGTTACACATAATTGTATTGTGTATATTATTTTCCGAAAAACAGTGATAGGCATAGCCTTAATCTTAGAAATGACCTTAAACTCAGACTTGATAAAGTTAGCTCGTTATTCGTAGAGTCGTATACACTATACGTTTTTGCAATAAAATTCCAAAAATCGTACAAAATTTATCGGAAAAAATATTCTCAGTACAGAGTACTAAAGAAACCAACCTCAAAAGTCATTCATCCCATAGTTTGCCACCCTTAGAGGTGGAACATTTTTTTTTTATTTTCAACAAAAAAGTATCATCGAACTAGGGTACACAATGCTGGAGATATCGCGTAACATACATACAAAAAAAAACATACAGCCGAATTAAGAACTTCCTCCGTTTTTGAAATCGGTTAAAAATGTTTAAAGCTCGTATTAAAAATGTACTAATTAGAAAGCTTATCATAAAATCAATTATTACACAGATGATAAGAACGGTGGTGTACTTCTAGCTATTTAATGTGACGATTCAAAAAATTATTTTTCTCAGGTGAAATTGACCTGCTAAGAACTAGTGGTTTTTTATTTTTTGTGATTTTAAGTGTAATTTGATTACCTACGAAATAAAGATACTTGATATGATATGTGTAACAAATAAATAAATTTACACGAATATAAATAAAAATACTGACATCTATATCAGAAATCTGACATCACGAACAATTCCGTCTTCAAAATAGCATCCTCAAAGGCCCGAAAGGGAATAGATACATTTTTTAAATATATTTTTTTCTATATTTCTTGTTATGATTTAAAAGTCTACGTAATACACACCGTTTGATATTGCAAGTTGAAAAATATTCTGCTCGCTTTTCCTTATTTTTTATAGCAATCAATCAATGAATATGTAAATCGAACGAATAATTTGCCGTAATTTACAATTCATAGGTATGATTAGTGCATTCCAAACGGTTGCGCCTACGTTACGATGGCCTGATAATTTTCTCGTTCCCTGTGCGTCTGGCGTGCCATGAAAGGAAACAAGGCAATACCTACTCGCCTAAAATATCAATGAACCATGACCAATACTTTGCGTAGCAATAATTTGCCCTAATCTTGCACAAATGTAAGGAACACCACAAAGTTTTCCACGTTGTAGTACGAATGGAGAGATGTCTGTTTTTCTCTTTCATTGGCGTTGAAACGCACCGGAGTACGGCGAGGTCTCAAGCCACAAGTCTCATAAGTAAAAGTAACTTTTAACAATACCTTGGCGGCGCCTGCGCGCCGCGTACGTCAGTTTTGCCAACTCCTACCGCGCGACAGTACGTATCGCTCTGTCGTATTTTTTTCGGCTACCGAAATCGTCAGTGCCGTTCCAGTTTAAAAAAAAATCAACTCGCGATTGTAATAAACATTTTTCTTCGGAATAAAAAGTGATTTCAAAAACGTGTTTGCAATTGAAAGTTCCATATCGTTAATGATATTTTAAACACATATTAGTTTATACTTGCCGACTTTATTGGATGTTACGCTCTCTTGAACGTGAGTATGAGGTTTGTTTTATTACAGCTTTAGTGTTGACCGGTCGAGTAATGCGGCCAAAGACTTTGCCTTGCTCTACTAGTATATTTCTTCATAATGTACACATTTCCTTCTGCTCCTCACGTGTGCCCTCCACAACACAAGTGAATAAGTTGAACTTTTCTTAACTTCATAGAAAACAATCAAAAACCAACTTTCGCACGAGATAAGCTATGTTGACGGCAACTTTTGTTACTTACAATCGAATCTATTCCTAAAAGCGAGTAATTCATGGAGTCGTAATACTGACTGTACCTCCATTTCCGTGTCAATAGACAACACACATAACACTCTTTCCAATTGCGTAGTAAACATTCAACAAATTCTGAATCACTGTTACTGAACACCAACAACAGATCGCTGCTTAACATTCGTGAGTAATATTTGTGTAACTAAGTTGAGTTATTAATGAGGTGACGAAAGTAGTCGCGTTTCCCGTAGCCTGAGGCTACCTTAGTCGCGAATCAAGCTTGGTACCCAGGCATTGGTCACCCGGCTAGTCAGTGAACGAGTGATTAAATCAACTTGCCTTGCAATCGGATTATTGGAACTGGTTCCAAACTTATAGTGGACACGTGTACCTTGCCCATATTAAAACCAACGCAGTGACACAATGGTACACTTTTAGCTTGTAATAAAATAAAAATCATATTAAGAGGGAGCAGAGGAAAAATTCCTAATCTTCAATTTGATTTAAGAGGGGTATATCCACGTTAAAGACACTAGTCAGAAACATAAAACAATAAAGTGTCCTCGATAGACAAAAATCACGAAATGACCTCTAATTTTCACATTTTTTCGATTCATCCTCGAAATGCTACAGGTTATTAGGACGAAAATTAGATAATTAATTATATTTATGCATGATCGACAACTGTCACTACGGATTTTTTTTAATCCCTTTAGTTTTAGAGTTATTCCGTTAAAACGAATTTGGTACTTTTAATGCGCAAAATTCAACATCTCCTGTCGCATGTCACGCGAACTTCAGGCATATTTGTTTCACAATTTTAGGCGGAGCCAACGTCAAAACTTTTTTCGCATGCTCCCTCTTAAACTAAACTTCAAACACGACTCAAGTATATTTAAAACACTAATTATTTGAAAATAGAATTATAACAAACTTTAAAAGGTTTTTGTAATACAAACTATGTTTGTTATAATTATTAATACAAAGATCGAACACTCAGAAAAAATTCCTTCGATCCGGTCGGATTCGTACCGACGTCTTCTTGCATACCGTGCCAGACGCTATACCAACTAAGCCACGGAACGAACCAACGGACCTCACGAATTTTTCTATGTGCTTGCGTCGTGTCTTTGTACTTGGTCTTTTAACGACTTTTTAGTCGTAGCGCCATCTATGAGAAATCTATTACAGATTTATCACCCAGTTAGTATCTTTGTATTAATAATTATAACAAACTAGTGGAGTAATTTCACAAAAAATAATTGAATATCAATTCAATAAAAATTTGATTAATACAAACTATGTTATTCAGCCATGACTACTTTTAGTTTTAGCCAAGAAACAATTATATATTTAAAATAGTTCGTTCAGGGAAGTACTGCCTTCTTACTTATTTCTGCCGCCAAGCAATAATGTGAGCATTATTGAAATTACAGGCACATGGGACTTTTCAATTTACGTCTCAGAGTGACGGGCGCCGGTGGAAATGACCCCTCAAATCTTTGCGATTTAAAGCTCTGAGCGGCAGTACAACTATTATGCACAGGGGTGTCACTTAACACCAGGCGCACGACTTGTTCGTCCCATCACTTGATGTCACAAAAAATACCGTATCGTAATGAATACGAGCGTTATTCCTATAAATACTAATGCACACTGTCATGTTTTTTTTGTAAAAAAATAATATGTTACTTGCAACTCATTAACAATTCATAATAATAATAACGTACACACTAAACAAAGTCCCGCACTAGGGAAACCCTGTGTCCCGGGTGCCATGTACACCCGAACTCACGAGAGAAATAAATGTAGGCCATACAAATATTTCTCCCGGCCCGGGAATCGAACCTCGGACCTCTGCGTGGCAGTCCGGCATGGTAACCGTTCGGCCACAGAGGCAGTTGTTACCTATCCTAATAAATAAAAAATGTAAGGGCTTCATAATATAAAGTCGACAAAATTCAGGTGTTGTGTTAGGTAACTAAATAAATACCTAGTACCAATGTTAGTACTATATATATTCACCAGTATTTCTGATAACAAATTAATAACAATAAAACCACTTAGGGGTCATATCCCTCAGTTCTGATGATAATAAATAGTGGAGAATTTTAATTTACTTTATCATAACAGCGCGACTGTAGACCTCATTTTAGTAACCGACTTTAAAAACGAGGTTATAGTTTATGTTATATATGTAATAGTTATATACATGTATATATACATGTATATATATATATATATATATATATATATATATATATAATAAATTAATTCTTTTTGTGAGTATGTTACGCATTTACTATGACCTTTGTGAACCGATGTTGATGATTCCTTTTTCGTTAGAAAGATGATACGTCAGATGTAGTCCCATTAAAATTTGAAGAAAATATTCCTCTTGCAAGGGTGGCAAATTAGGGAATGAATCCAATTTATTGGATTTCACCCAATTTCCGTTAATCGCTTTCAATAAAACTTGGCAAATAGATACATCTATTTTCATACCACAAAGTTTTCAGATCGTTTTTTTATATAAAAAAGTTAATATATTATATTCATAATAAACCAAATAAAGTTCAATATATTTTTAATGAATGGAAGGTTCTCCACGCTTACACGAAGGTAAAACTTCCTAACCTCCACTCGTTTCCGTGCTTTATGATATCTGAAATGTATATTGTTAGACGTTTTGCAATACACTTACGTCCCACATAAACTTCTTAGACATTATTGGCAAAGATACTGCTTGTATCATAGGCGGAGAGCATAAAAATGGCGTAAAAACCAAAAATATTTTTTTAACACCAAACAAGATATTAATTACTTTATTCCTTAAACTAAAAACTGCCTGTTCCCTCGTGAGTTTGGGTGTAATTTGTGGTTATCTATATGTGTGTCATTAGCGAAACCCTGTGTGGTGGGTGTCATGGGCGCACACATAGACAACCACAAATTACACCCAAACTCACGGAAGAAATAAATGTAGACCATACAAATATTTCTCCCGGCCTGGGAATCGGACCAGGGACCTCTGCGTGGCAGTCCGGCATGATAACCGTTCGGCCACGGAGGCAGTTATGCCAAAGCCATTCAGTACTTTAAATCACTGCGCTCGTCACCCTGAGACATAAGTTGACAAGTCCCATGTGTCTGTAATTTCACCAGCACCCTTACCCTTTAAAGCAGTAACACAGTAATGGTCAAATTGTCAGTAGACATAGGTAAGGTGACCGTACTTCCCTGGACGAATTCTTTCTCAGGGAACTCTACTGTCACCATATTTTAAAAACATGCCATACCTACATATCATATATACATATATTTCGGTATAAACATACACACTTAGAAGTATGGAGTGTTCCGGACTTTATAGTAGTCCGAAAGAGGAACGGTCAAAAAGGAATTCGATTGAAAAGTTCCCGCATACACTCTCCGAAAAGTGTAATAATTTAGTTGCTTTCAAAATACAGATATATTTTCATCTGTATCCGGCAGAAAACCGACAAGCAAGCTACTTTTCGCTTATCATCAAGCACATGACTTGATCATCCCGTCACTTGGCATATAAACAAAATGAGAATCTGTCTTGCAAACAAAAAAACTATAACAAACTGCGCTGCAGTTTGTTGGCCTTTGATTTTGTAGCCAAGTATATTTATTTTTCTATCATTGACGTCAGCCACTCGTTCGCGTAAAATGCTTTGTTTCATATTAGTATTTTGTGATACGCACTACAAAATAGTGAATTCACTGCCGGCATCAGTGTTTTGGAAAGTTACATTTTGGGGATATTCAACGCTAGAATAGGCATGTACTAAACAAGCGCATGACACCATCGGCCTCATCGTTGCTTAATATCAAGTGAGATTGTGAGCAAGTCTTCATCTACTTTACATAAAAAGAAAGTGCTTAAAGTATTGACAGTTTTCCTCCTTTTTTTATAATATCAAGCGACTTGACAAATAAGTCTTGCACCTGATGCTAAGCTACATGCCTGTCCATAACAGTTGCATTGCCATTCAGAGCTTTAAATCGCAAAGATCTGAGGGGCCACTGCTACTGCGCCCTTCACCCTGAGACTTAAGTTGACAAGTCCCATGTGCCTGTACTTTCACCAACACCCTTACCCTTCAAAACCGGAAAGCAGTAATGTTAGCATTGGAGGCAGTAAATAGGTAATGTGTCAATACTTCCCTGGGCAAACTCTTTCACAAGGAGCTCTACTTCTACTAACTACTCCTTCTTAAAACATTGGGCAAGAATACTGCAAAGCCATTATATCTCTCATGTAGTGGATAAATTTACAGAATAGATATACATTTTATTGATTATCATGGTATTCTAGTATTTATTATGAAAATACTTCACTAATTTGTTGTTATTATCAAAACAAGGATTGAACAACACAGTAAAATTCTTTGGTTTGACTGAACTCGGACCAGCGTCTGTAAATATTTAATTATTAAAAAAAAATTATACATGAAAATAGCATCCAAATATAAAATTATTTTGTGCTTTAGTATCGTTTAAAGTAATACTGTAGAAAAAAATTATTGGTTACACCACTTTTTATCCTTAATTATTCACAGCAAAATAAAACTATATTATATCTAAAAAAAATATTAATTCATTTTACCTTGTTAAAGCCAAGAGATTCTTATTGTAATGAAAATAGAAATCACTGTACAAGGACTTAAAATGTTTTGGTTTGACATAATAGAGTTGCGGAGTTAGAAATCTTTACTTGTTTTTAGATGAGACTGAACCAATC